ATGCCATAAACTCATCATTTAATCAAGTATAAATGATAGTCCTTTACATTTCTGAAATATATACAAGGTGATTTAACTCCTCATCACTGGTCTGAAGTAGTATTCCATCTGGTCACTATGCTTTGAGTCTTGCAACCTTGGACTTCATATTCCTCTACGTGCTTGCCCAGTGGTGTCTCTCCAACCTCACTGTGTTACCTTGGCTTTTAGTTTCAGGATCAATCTGAAGCCAGTTGAGAGAAAGAAACCACACAGTAATTTAAACAGAAAATTGTAATGTAAATTATTGTAATATAAATTATGACAGGAGACTGGGATTACAAGGGCATGGCTACCAAGAAACAAAGATAACCTTAAAGAATACAGGAACAGTATATAAAAGAAACAGATATGTCCAAGACTATCACAGAACCCAAAGACAAAGTCAGGCCCCGTGGTTTTGAGGAAGCCTGGTGGAACTATATAGAGCTTTCCAAAAATTTGCCTTTGGAGTTGGTGAAGCGATACATGGGAGGTGTTTACCTAAGACATGCCACACTGAGGTGCCCTTGAATGAGGGCATACTGAGAATATGCTCACTAGTGTATGCTTTGAGGCCTTGGATCAGGCCATCCAGGATCTGGGCACTGGAGACCAGGACCTGCTCAGTGGCATACCAAAAGGGGAGAAAAATACCTTCCCCTTTCCTGACAGAGTTCATCATCGTGCTAGCTAGCAGACAAAAACATTTAAAGATCACAGATTCATTTTCACAGAACAAGTAATTCAGGGTTAAGGTGAATCTGAAACATCATGAATTTATAATTGGCACAGTTTTTTTTTTTAACAGGGAACCCTTAAGTAGTCAAACTAACTTGTGTACTTTGAGCTACCTGCCTAGTCAAATATTTGTTATGTCGTAGTTCCCAAAGACAAAAGTGTATAAAAATATGATTGTGTATGTACGTGTGAGATTTATCTGTACACACAGAGACCTCACTATCTTCCTGACACCCAGTGTTGGGACCAGGCTGCCAACACAGTTGCCATGGGGAAAGCTGTTCTTTCCTTGTTTTACTCTTTGGGTTTTCAAATGACCTAAATAGCTTTTAGTACAATAGTCATGGTTGAAGACAGTTTTGAACTGCTTTTCTTAAAGTATTTATTTTACACATACAAAAGAAATTATCAATCTAGTTTTAGTATTCTTTTTTTCTTTTAAGAAAATTATATTGGTCTGTGAAATTCAAATCTGAAAAATATTATAGCTGACTAAGAATTTGGCAAATTGTGGCAAATCACTAGAACTCTTGGAAAATACCTAAACAGATTTGCCTTTAAAAGCAACAAAAAATATTGTCACATGATGCTCAACAAGAGTATGTTTGCTTCTGAACAGGTCAGTGCTCAGCGCCATATATTTCACATGCATTGTGCGGCCTAAACTGAACAGTAATATATATTGTTGTTGTTGATCTTCAGAAGCCAGAAATCAAGTGGAGTTAATTTTTGTAAGATACTATATTCAGCAGATAGCACAGCCGAGTTTTAATAGGAGTCTGAATCCTGAATGTTTCAGGATTTAAGTAGATGACTGTCTCCAAAAATCTTCCAGTTTGTGGTAAAAGACAAAAACTGAATTAAGATTTTAAAAGTGAGATTTTCAACAAATAAAAAGACCAGCCGGGCATGATGGCACATTCCTGTAATCCCAGCACTTAGGAGGCTGAAGCAGGTGGATTGTTGCAAATTCAAGGCCAGCCTGCGCTACAAAGTGAACCCAAGGCCAGCCTGAATTGCATAATAAGACCCTGTCTCAAAAAGACCAAAAATAAATAAATAAGCCAAAAGATTATATACTTTTATGTTGAATCTTTATTTCCTAGAGAAAGGAAAATAAAAAATCCTCATAACTTATATTTAAAGTTTTAAAAAATCAAATGTAAAACTCAATAACTAGTTTCTCTTCTATCATAGCAAATGTAAGTGCAGTAGAATATATCATTGCAAGTAGAAAAACATTTCTATATTGTTAATATACATTGGTCTATCAAGAATGAATGTTAGTTACAGACTTCATAACTATGGCTTAATCAAATCAAGACTGATCTGTGTCATACAACAAAAAGCCCCAATAGGAACGGTAGCTGAGAGTGCTTATAGATCTGTGTGAAGCCGACCTTGCCTTCTCCTTAGCCAATTGTTGCTTCAGCTTTAGTCGCCACATCTCCATGGAAAGAAGAAGGTGGGACTCGTATGGCAGCTATATACAACTCATTCTGTCAGACTCCTAAACATTATACCTCATTAGCCAATCTCGAGTCAAATTTGTGTCCCTAAAATTGCTAGAGAATTTAGGAAAATAGGGAATAACATTGTCATATTTGGCTTGTAATGTGAGTCGGCCAAACTCTGACCCCATTAAAAATTGAGCTATCCTTGTGTAAATAGTGTTTTATTGGAAAACAGTCATTGTACTTTTATGTGCTATCTGTGGCTGTCTTCATGCCAAAGTGGAATAGCTGAATACTTGCAGTAGCTTAAAAATATTTATTTTCTGGCCTTTTACAGAAAAGTTTGCTTGATATCTGTCTTAAACCAACCATGATCCATTGTCTGCCTATGGTGATGATTTGGATATTTGGGGCTGAGTGGGTTTCCGTTAAGCAAGGAAGAAAGGGAAAGGGGAACTATTGGAAAGAACAATATGTAAAGTATGATCAAAAATATGGTTTGTGTTTAAATTGTTAAAAATCATTATAGTAAATGACACCTTACCATTGGTCCCCCTCAGGGTACTCCCTGCATACACTGGAAACATGCTTATCCCATTGTTCTTCGCACTTTCTGAAGCAGCTCTGGAAGTCCTCTTTTTTTTTTTTTTTATTATCTTCAGTTATACTGTAATGGCATGGCTATCTTGATGTCCTGAATTGATTCAAAAGGTTTACCATTCATGGTCACTTTGACTTTAGGGCAGAGCCAGAAATCACAGAGAACCAGATCAGTGCATAAGGTGGATGAGGATACACTATCATATTTTTATAAGCTTGCTCTATCATATTTTTATAAGCCTGCTTTTCTCTTAGATGACACTTAACAGCAGCATTCACCATGTTTCTGATTAGACCTTGTAAAGACATGCACAAAACAAAGGCAAAACAGGGAACATCACAATCCCTGACTTGAAATTATAGTATAAAGCTACTGTGATTTAAAAAAAAAAAAACAGACCCAAAGACCAGTGGAACAGATTAGAAGATGCAGAAACAACTCGACACATTCAGCCACCTTATCTTTGAAAAAGGCGCCAAACACACTCGCTGGAAGAAAGACAGCCTCTTTAATAAACGGTGCTGGAAAAACTGGCTCTGCACATGCAAAAGATTAAAATTGAACCCATATCTTTCACTATGTACTGAACTAAATTCAGAATGGATCAGAGACCTAAATATTAAAACAAATATTAAATTTGCTGGAAGATAGAAGACATTGAAGACATTGATGTAGGCAAAGACTTTATAAATAAAACCCTGATTACGCAGGAATTGTCACAAAGAATCAACATCTTGGATCTCATCTTATTCAAAAGCTTTTGCACAGCGAGAGAAAGCACCAACAGAGTGAAGAGACAACCCACAAGGTGGAAAAAAATGTTTGCCAGCTGTTCCTCAGACAAAGCATTACTATTGGGAACATATGAATAACAAAAAATAGACCTCACAAATTTAAGGACCCAATCCAAAAATGGGCATCTGAGATGAATACAGAATTATCAGATGAAGAAATGCAAACAGCAAATAAATACATGAAACAATGTTCAACTGGTCATTCGAGATGCACATTAACACTACACTGAGATTCCACCTCACTCTGAAAAGAATGGCTGTCATCAAGAAATCAACCAATACCGAATGCTGGCAGGGCTGTGAGGGAAAAGAACCCTTCTCCACTGTTGGTGAAAGTGTAGACTGGTGCAACCACTGTGGAAATGGATTGGGGACCCCATTTGACCTATATTCCCCAGAATTCTGAGTATCATCTCAAAAGAATTAAAAGCATCGTACTACAGTCATACATGTGCATCTATGTTTATAGAAGCACAGTTTGTAATAGCTAGATCTTGGAAACAACCTAAATACCCATCAGCTAAAGAATGGATAAAAAAAGATGTTATACTTTTATACAATGGAGTACTACTCAACCGTAAAGAAGGATAAACTGAGACTTTTGTAGGTTAATGGATGCAACTAGAGACCATACCCATAAGTGAAATAAATCAGACTCAATGTGCAAACACGATCTAGTTTCTTTAATGTGAAAAGCTGAAATAAATATATTGTATATTATATATGAAAAATAGTTAAGGTAGTTATACTAATTTCTGTTAGTTCATTGAAAAGTTTGTGCTAATATGTTTTGGACAATTAAAGACAGATATCTGATACTCTTGAGTAACTAAGTTAAAGATAACAATATGCAATGTATTAACCATTGTTACTATCTTGTTTTGAAATTTTATTTCTTTCTCTTTAAAATTAAAAAAAAAATGACATGAATGAAGACATCCACAGCTGATTGCACAGGTATCCGCAATGATGGTATAAGTGTATTCAAAGGGAGCAGGGGAGTATAGCGAGGGGTGAGATGGCAGTATGTCTTTTACTATAATAAGTTTTTAAAAATTTAAACATTCACTGCATTTTTCAGTCACCCTTTTTATGTCACAGGTGATCATCAAGTTCAATTAATTATGTGCAAGACTTGAACACATTAATATATTTTCTGTTTGCAATGACAGGGTTACCTTAAACATATAATTTTTTCCACTCCATTTTTCTTGTAAGACAACTATGTTCATGTAAATTCACTTACACTTCACACATGTATAGCATCAAATTATTGACAACGTTGAGAGAGCTCATGACCAAGAAGGACCTCAGAACACTGACCAGTAAAGGACTAAGAGACTTGAGTGCATATTTTATTAATTGTTACTTTCCTTTAACTGTTTATCGTAGGTTCTTGCATACACTGAGGGACTTCACGGAAAATGGATGTTCAGTGAGATACGCGCTGTATTTTCAAGACGTTATCTCCTTCAAAACACTGCTCTGGAAGTATTTATGGCAAATCGCAGTAAGTTCTCTTACATACTTTGAGTGAACAATGGGCTTGTGTTTGGCTACTAGTCATTTATTAGTCATACTAGTCATTTACTAGTCATATTGTGGTATCCTTTTTTATTCCACTGTATTTCTCTTTGGTATGCTATCACTGAACAAAATTACATGATTTCTTAAATTGATGGTTACTTTTCCTGTGGTTTTCTAAATTGTGTTCTTTTCTTCTTACCACAGCCTCGGTTATGTTTAATTTCCCTGATCAAGCAACAGTAAAAAAAGTTGTTTATAGCTTGCCTCGAGTTGGAGTTGGGACCAGCTATGGACTGCCACAAGCAAGGTAATTATATCATATTACACATTATCTATGGTTTGTTCACATATTTCAGTCTCAGTGTTACGAAATGTAAATGTGGTTGCATCATTTTAATTATTCCGAGGATCAAGAAATTTTCTTTCTTTGTGGACTATTTATAGGAAAAGAGGTTATAAAAACAGGTCTCTTGAGAATGACTAATTAAGGTAGAATTTTAACACAGATCTAAATGAGTAAGTAAAAACTTGGTCTCATATCATAGATATAATCATAAAGGAAGAAATTTTTCCTGTTAAAACTTACAGGAAACAAGCCGCAAGCCTCAAAATGTTTGTGATTAATTGTTGCATAATAACATATAAATTATGCTTGGGGGGGGTCTTTTTTTTCTTTGCAGTATTGGGGATTGAACCCTGACCTTATATGTGTTAGGCAAGCACTCTACCTCTAAGCTACATCCCTAGCCCTTTTAAAATGTTTTTAAATTTCGAGACCGAGACTTACTTACTCAAGCTGGCCTCAAATTTGGCAATCCTCCTGCCTCAGCCTCATAAGTAGCTTGAACTGTAGGCATGCATCACTGCTCTTGGGTCTAAATTATGTTTTTAAAACTATCCATAAATTTTTTATTGAAGTAATAAAACTCTTAGACTTTACTGAGGTTAACAGCTGTTAATCACGGTATAGTTTTTAAATACTACTTGTAGGGGTTTTTAGCTCTCTTGCGCTCTCTGTCTGTCTGTCTCCCTCTCTCTGTATGTGTGTGATTGTGTGTTTAATATATTTTTTCTGGGGAAATATTTCCATTTATTTTAGCTTTTTTAAAATTAAAAATAAAAGACAAAATGAAACAAAAACAAATAGAAGAAAATATTAAAGACCAGAAAACACAATCCCTTATCAAACTGTCAACATCATTTTTCATATAGATTAACATTTTGATTCCTACATTTCTGTAAAAATAAAAAAGACTCAGGATAATCTAAACAACTTTGATAAAGGAACAAAATTAGAGCTCCAAACCTCCCCAGTCCCACGATTTATCCCAAAGTTACACCAGTCATGACAAAACAGCATTGATATCAAGGTAGACAAACCACCAAAATAAAGTCCTTCAAACTAAAGTACCAATATAAAGTCTCAAAATAGATACCCATGTAACAGACGTTTGATTTCTGGCAAAGGTGCAAAAGCAATTAAGTGGAGAAAGGATTGCATCCTCAGTAAATATACTGGAACAGCTGGATGTCCACATGCAAAAACCCTTATCGCATATCAAAAATGCCTTAAAGTATCCAAAAGTCAGCTTGGAATGGCTCACAGTGGGTTAAAGTGAAAGCAGGTGTGGCCTGAGTCATTGCTTGGCTGACGTGAGTTTCTCTGGGACAAAATACATGTTTTTTCCTTATCATACTAATGAAACAATGCAGTGACTATGCATGTGTGACGTTTATTTCATTAATAAGCATGTTTTCAAGGCACATCCATTTGCCTAATGAAAATGTCCAGTTTATCATTCTTTATGGCTGAATAGTATTTCATTATATAGAAACATCACATCTTTTATATCTGTTCCTCAATTGATGGACATTTAGATTGTTCACAAGATCTAGCTATTATAAACTGTGCTGCTATAAACATGTGTGCACATTAATATAAAAGATATTGAGTTAAGATAATGGTAGTTTTAGGTCCACAGATTCAGTGACATCAGGACTCTTAAATCAGCTTTGTGTTCACAAAATCTCCACTACTATTTCAGATACCACGTCTTCACACAACTATGCAAAAGTATGAAAAAGATACAGAGAATTTCTCCTTAAGCTTCTCTGTTTTAAGGAGTATTTTTCTTAAGACCTCTGGTATCTTGTAAGTCCTGTTGGCTGGCATGGGATCAATTTCCCACCTCTTAAACAATGAGGACTAAGTTTGCTCACTTACGCCTGTGAGTTTCTAGAATTTATGAAAAATATACCTCTGACTTCTTGTCACATCTTAACTGCAAAACAAGAGAGTTTCTGTTGAGGAAAAAAACAGGGAGTAGACAAACAGCAGCATAAGGACAGTATCCCTGAGGGCTGTTGCTGGGTCCTACCTGGGCGGAAAGGAAAGCCAGTTCTTTGTGTATCTTAACTACGTTACAGACATTTTACAGACAGGGCATGTGTTTCACTTCTCTTTTAATCTATAGCACCCAGCACAGGGCCTAATTGCAGAAGTGTTTTTTAAGTGCTATTCAACTGGAGTTCCCTTGTATTACATCTTATCTGTTCTCTTAAAGCTTGCAGTGCAAGAACAATTCACTGACGTGTGTGGACATGCTCAAGATATTTGCTAGTAGAATGATAAGATTAAAGTAAGACATTAGTAGATGAAGTAGTTATATAAAATATAGGTCAAAGAAAAACCCATTTAATCTATCAAAGAAAATGAGGTTAGTTTTGCAAGACTTGTTCTTATTGAATTGAAGCTGACTCAGAGTAGTCGCTGTTTCCTTTCCCTAGTGCTTGCAAACTATTCGTTTAATCATCAATTCAAGAATTTTTCCAGGAAGGAACATTAAGAACTCACTAAGAGCTCTAACTTTGTCATTTTTAGAGGTAATCTCCTGCTTCCTCACATCTTCCTCAATGACCATCATTTCTAAGATCACTGAGAGGCCTTCTAGCTGGGGTGCGCCATTTCCTGCGGTGCTCTTGGGCTTGTCTGAACCTGAATTCATTTAAAGCAGCCGGGAGTTCTTTTCCTGTCTTCCTTGCATATTATGAGTCTCATTCTTTTTTAAGCACATTTGGTCTCTTTTTTTTTACTTTTAGAAGATTGGCATACTGGATAGAAAAACTGAATGCAAAATAAATTATCAATAATTTTTCTTCATTTCATAAAGCCATCCTATCTTTGTTTATTTCCTAAGACATGCAGTCTTAGAACTGGCAGAGTACGTTGGGGAGGAGTGTTGAACGTAGGCTTAGACCTGCCACTTACAGACTGAGTGACGATAGGAGAGCTTAGTATTTAGCGGGAGCTCAGTGCTGGTTGAAGAATGAGTAACGCTAGGCAAGCAAAATAGGGGCAATATCTTTGCAAAGACATTTGAGAGACTGCGAGAGGCTAAAGTAAGATACTTTATAAACTATCTCCATGCATGTTCACACATACATACGGATTAAGTAGACAAGTAAATAGATATCCATTGATAAGCATGCACTTACATATTGTATGGACTTTAATAGAGAATTGTGGAAGAAGGGATGGCACCTGTTTCTTATAGGTAAAAACTCTCTAGTGTCTTAATAAACCACAAAAAATGTCTAGAAATACATTCTTTCTTTCCATTCTTCACATTTGATTTTATCAGTTAAACAAACTTACTTTTCTTTAGGGAACTCTAAGCCAAAATCCTAAGATACTAATTTTAGACAACAAAACATTATCAAATTCAAATGCAGGCATACTACCAGAATAATTGACTCCAGAATCATTTTAGTCAATTCTTGGGCAAGCCCACCAAGAAGATGGATCAAATTACAAATCAGATCCTTGCCTACTGAGCAGTGATTTAGAACAAAAGAACTATTTCCTGTAAGCTAATATAGACTAACAAATGCCCTTTAGTTAATTAATGTCATGCCTCTTTTTTACTCACTATTTCCCGTGATCTACAAACTGTACTTTGTGTTTTAGTTCATAATTATTTCATTTAGTTCTTAAAACAACTACAATCCTAAAGCAGTGAGATTCTTATCTCATTTTACAAGTAGGAAAACTTAGATTTAGATGAGTTATGCATCTTTTTCACATTCTTAATTCCTACTCCATGTCCTTTATCAAGATAACTAACATGATCCTTAAGACGATACCTTTCTCAGTGACAAAGAAATCACTATTGGCAAACACATGTCCATTTTCTAGACCTCATACTGATTACTACTCTTTGGTTAATATATTTTCTATCAAGTCAGTCACTCAGTTTATTTAGCACTTTACTAGAGTGTTCATTTACAAAGAATATACCCTTTATTTATAAAATTGATGAATTGAAATGTACTATGATACATAATATTTTTTCCAATCTTTTTTTTTTTTTTTAAATTGGTACCGGGGATTGAATTTACGACCACGCGCTTGCAAGGCAGGCACTTATGCCGCTGAGCTAAATCCCCAGCCCCGATACATAATATTTTTTAACCTATAAGTTTCAGTATAGCATTCATTCTTTTCAATGACATTTTTGTGAAAGTGGTGTTGGATGGTTAAGGAGTTACACAACAGAAGTTCCATGAAAAAGTGGAATGCCACAGGGTAGATGGAGGGAGTAGTGTCAGATGTGATTACAAGGTTTGAGAAACATCACTGCTCCACAGGTGCAAATACCCCATTAGTAACTGTGATCAAGGGTAAAAGACAAGTGTTATTTTTCTTGCAGTGTATGAGTGTTTATTTTCAAATAGTAACTTCATTGTTAAGATGTTCTCATTATCTGTTTTGTATCGCTACACAGAATACCTGATACTAGAGACTCTATAAAAAAATGAGGTTTATTCAGGTCATGGTTAGGGGACTCAGAGTCCTAGATCAGGTGGCTTCGTCTGTTCAGTTTCCACCAAGGGCCCCATGGCTACATCACGACGTGGCAGAGAAACGGAAAAGGAAGTGGTGAGAAGGGGCCAACCGTAAGAAATGGCTTTGCATTACTGTAACAACCTGTCCTCTTGAGAACTAACGCATTTGTGCTGTGGGAAGCATTAGTCCCTTCCCAGGGCAGTCCACAAGGCCTCACTTCTTAAAGGTCTCCTATTTCAACACCACCATGCAACAAAGCAAGCTTCTCACACATGACCCTTTACGGGACAGTCACATCAAATCCAAACCGTAGCAGACATTAACTAATTATTGAGTTATGTAGGCTACTCCTTAATAAATAGAACCATTAAGTATTTCTCCTAGCCAAAGAGCACCTTAAAAAAAAAAAACTACTGAGATTTAGTACTAAGAATACCATTAATTTTTAAACTTTGTTAACATTCGTTGATCATTTTAGAATCTCAGTATCTCTGCCATACTTTTCAGGCTCTACTAACTTTTGTTACTTTTAGATAAATATTTTAAACCTGGAAAATATTATAACTTGAAGTTTCATGGTTTATGCCTTAAAGCAATTATAATTCCCTATTTGTCTTAGTTACTTTTTAATTGTTGTTGAGACAAAATACCTGACACCAAAAGTTAGGAAAAGAAAAGTTTCTTACAGTTGTTGGAGGTTTCAGTCCATACTCAGTTGGCTCCAACCAGAAGGGTAGCATGGCGGGCCACCATTCATGGCTGGCTGCAAACAGCAAGAGAACCAGCAAGGGAGAGAGAGACAGGCACACTTTCTTCCTGCCTTTACTTCGTATCCTGGCTCGTCCCCTGGGCAGGTAAAACACTCACACCACCCTAACCACCAGTCTGAGACAATGAACCAAGTACAAATGCTAGATTTGGTCAAGTCCATAATTCATGAGGCATGGGGGCCACTGACGTAAATAATGACACCATCTTCTGGACCTGTATGTTTTTTCAGAGGTCTCCATTATTTATAACTTCATTATGATGCAGGAGAAATGTAACTCCCACCCTGCTAGATGTCAGATATGCTAAATTCATGTATTTCAAAATCAAAGAATGAATTCCAAAAGACAAAAGGAAGTTAAGAGAAGGTCCCAAATCAGTTGCCACCAAGGCCTTTGTCAGGGATAATTATACAACAAAGTTACAATAAGATTTTGTGTATAGCTAATATTGATCCAGTAGGGAAGCTGGACATGTAGCAGTGACTGACATCAACCTGGGCTTATCTGTGACATTTTTTGCAAATAGATGGGTCCAGATGTTCTGGTCACCCAACCAGATGTCTGATGCATATTTGGACTTAATGGGCCAGGTGATACTAATTATAGTATAGTCCTAAATTGTGCTTGTCCCTTAGGGAAGTGTGCGTGTCTGGCCATTGCATCTTTATCTTGGGGTTTTGCCTTCTCAGATGTGCTTCCAGCCGCATTCTGTGTCTTTACTTTTCTGTTGACTTCCTTGAGAGCGCAGTATCTCTCTGGCTGCCTATTACTTTCTGTCTGGTTTAGCTGCCTGTAATAGTTAGAGGGCTGTGTACTGTGTGGCTGTAGGCTGTGCATGTGTGCACACTGTAGGCATGGGGTAGGTGTAAAAAGTTTAGTGTCAGCCACGATTGTTAAGTAAGATTTAAGTCAAATGTCTGCAAGCAGACACCTCATTCAATAAATACCTACCTAGTTTATTGGCATGGAATAAATTTTCTAAATTGTTTAAAAATCACCGTTTCTCTTAAATGAGAAACCATATCATAAATAAAGAGTAAACAAAAATAATAAACAAAAATAATAACCCCTTCTCAAATGTGAAGGGGATCAAGAAATGAGAGGAAGCAAAGAGAATAAAAGGGGGCTGGAGATTTAGCTCAGTGGTGTAAGTGTCTGCGAGGTTATGAGTTCGATCCCTTGTACAAAAAAATAAGGATAAAAGGGAAGTAGTTTGTGTACATGTAGCAGCTCTGCAGAAAGAATGTGAACACAGTGTACTACAAACATGTACTAGCAAAAAAAGCAAGAACCTCTCAAAAAACCCCACCTTGATTTTGATTATGGCATTCTTTTGCATTCTTGTTTATTTATAAATACACCTCTCCAGATACAGTATTAGAAATAGGATTGCTCAACAGCCAGCAGCATATTAAATGCCAAAACCTGAAAGCCTTTACCCTAAAATCAGGAACAAGACAAGGATGTCCATTATCACCAGTCCTGTTCAACATAGTGCTGGAAATACTAGCCGAGCAATTAGATGAGAGAAGTTAAAGGAATAAGGATAGAAAACGAAGTTAAATTATCATTATTTACAGATGGCATGATACTCTACATAGAAGATCCCAAAAGCTCCATTGAAAGACTCCTAGGTATAATAAATAAATTCAGTAATGTAGCTGGATACAAAGTCAACACTCAAAAATCAATAGCATTCCTATACCCTAACAACAAAATCACAGAGAGAAGTAAGAGAACTCACACCCTTCACAATAGCATTCAAAAAATGAAATACTTAGGAATCAATCTAAAAACAGAAGTAAAAAACCTATTCAGATGTTCAGCATCATTGGTCATTAGAGAAATGCAAATTAAAACCACACTGAGATTCCATCTCACTCCAGAAAGAATGGCCAGGATAAAGTACTGTCAGTGACAATCCTGGAGGATCTTCAGGGAAAAAGGAACTCGCCTGCACTGTTGGTGGGAGTGCAGACTGGTACAACCACTGTAGAGGTCAGTCTGGAGATTTCTCAAAAAGCTAGGATTGGAAGTTCAGTTTGACCCAGCTATTCCACTTCTGGGCATATTCCCAAAAGAATTCAAAGCATCGTATCACAGTGATATATGTCCACCCATGTTTATAACAGCACTATTTGTAATAGTCAGATCTTGGAAACAACCTAAATGCCCATCAGCTGAGAAATTGATAAAAAAGATGTCGTACTTTTATACAATGGAGTACTACTCAGCTATAAAGAGTGATCAGCTGAGATATTTATAAGTAAATGGATGCAACTCGAGACCAAACTCATAAGTGAAATAAATCAAACTTACATGTGTAAATACCGTATAGTCTCCCTAGTATAAGAAATGGTAAGAGTACATAAAATACAAAATACTCAATAAATACAGTGAAAGGATAAGAATCTGCTTAAGGGGGGAAAATAATATGTCAGGGAAAATGAGGAAAAAGAAAAAGGAAGGAAAAAATATATAAAATTATATAAACGCACAAGGTAGCTAAGATGATTGTGCTTCAAATTCTGTAAGTTCTTGGAACAAAAAATTGCTATTCATAGGATTGGAAAAATTGTACATATTATTGTATGGTGATCTGAGGAACTCTTGAAGATCATTATGTAAAATAACAACCCTGTTACACTCCTACTACCTTGTTTGGACAGCCTGTTTTGTCAGTGTTTTGGGCTCTTTGCTATTGTTATTTGTGTGTTTTGTTTTGTCTTTCCCTCTAATACAAAAAGGATAGGTGTACATGTACAGGCTCATACATGCATAGAACTTCTCCTAAACAGTTTATGAGAATCAATTATATAATACACAATGAAATGAACAGCTACTTCCAAGAAAAAGAGACACTATGTTATCCAGTGCTGATTCCATAGTATCATGCTGTGAAATCCAGCAATATTATTATTCTTTGTTCAGAATGGTTTTAGTCTGTTTTGTATTGTTTAATTTCAACATACATGAAGGTATGGACAGCTATTTTGAAGAGAACAAGAGAGACATTATAGCATCCATTGTTGATTTCCCTATTGTCTGGTTTTGAAGGCCTATAACGCCTTCATCATCCTGTTCGGATCAGTTTAATACTATTTTGTTGTGTGTGAAGATATGTACAACTATTTAGAAGAAAGCAAGAAACAATATGATAGCCAGTGAGATTCTTGCTTTGAAATCTGTGTTACTTACATTGTTTTCTTCTGATCTACTTTGTTCTGTTTTGTTCTGTTTAGTTTTACTCACTTTAAAATAAAATTTTAAAAAATGAAAAGAAATAGAATTGCTTTCAAGTTGACTTATCCTGGGTAATTATTTTACTATAATAGAATTCTAAAACACTGATAATCTCAACAATTAAAATATATTTTTATATAGTTTTTATATAACTATATATACATATATGCTTTATAATACAATATAATATAACATTATGTGTGGCACATAGTATAGTAATATGTTAATATTGGATTTTTAAAAGTTGTGAGTTAAAAGAGACTATGATTGTTACGATGTTTTATTTTTAGGAGGATATCATTGGCCACTCCTCGGCAGCTTTATAAATCTTCCAATATGACTCAGCGCTGGCAAAGGAGAGAAATTTCAAACTTTGAATATTTGATGTTTCTCAATACGATAGCAGGTAAGACATCTCATTATTTTAGTTCATAATGTTTGTATTCATCAGAAATATTGGTAATGATTGATGTGATACTTTTTTCTCTTTGAAATTCAAACATAGCATTAGAATAAATATAAAAGTACTTGCATTAAACTTTATCAGAAATTGTAAAGCTAATACCAAGATCTTAGATGCATTTATTGTTGAAGGGGCTTTTCTTTGCTCTCCTTCTGCCATTTCCTTTGCTGACAGCTTGGTCTGAAAGTTTATTAGAATCAACAAAACATTGCCAGAGAGTGTCTGGAAATAATAATGGGAAAATGTAATTTCACTACTTTGTCATTCTCAGCAATAGCAGCAAGACAGAAGAATTTTAACAAGAGGATTCTGTCTAGTATAGCTGTCACCTGGATTATGGCATGATTAGGTTACAGCATCTTTTTTTTTAAATCTTCATATAAAAATAAAAATCAGATTATATTTTCTAAATGATAAGTAACTGCCATCAATCTCAGTGTTTACTATCCTTGTAAATTAAAAGGAGGTAGTATAGTGGCTTTGTTTTTTGTTTTTTTGGTTTTCTTTTTGCTGTATCAGTGGCTCTCAGTGGTTAAATACATGTCTAGAAGACTAAACTGCCTCATTCTTTTTTGTTAAATTGAGCTCCAAAAGCCCTTATTCATATTGAATTACTGTGTTTGCTTCTATAAATCAGTTATACAAAAACTTTTTACAATGAAATGCACTTAGCCACATAATGTGTTTGCATACAGTTTTTGTTTTGTTATGAATGAATACTTACAACCCTGAAGTTAGAGTCATGTTCTGCTCTGAATAGCTTTAAAAGGACAATTACACAATAATTTTATATTTTAGTCTACCATATGTACGAATGTAGGCATGATAGTCATATTAAATATGGATGATGTAGAAACATTAAACAAGCAGGAGAACATGACTCATTAACAAAAAGGGATAATGTTATTTGAAGTGTTACAACGTTTTTGGAGTTTCATGTTAATATTTTCATATATACACGTACATGCATTCATGTATTCATATATTCTTTCATATCTCGGAAAATTTTCCTTAAAATTAACAGAAATACGTTATACTGTTTTAACTAGCACATTATATATAGAGAGCACATATTATATATGTATATAATGTTATATAATATATGATATATATATATAATGTGCTAGTTAAAATAGTATGTATAAAATATGGGTATAAAATATCAATAGAATGAACTTTAATACTTGAAACTTAAGGAACTTAGTTGCTTTTGCAGTAATCCCTTGGTATCTGAGGGGACTGGTTCTGAGATCTCCACCTCACCTTGTATGTATCAAAATCCGCCAACATTGAAGTCCTTTACATAAAATGATACAGTATTTGTCCAATATATACACATTCTCCCATGTAGTTTAAATATCTCTAGATATTTATAATACTTAATACAATTTGAATGCTATATAACATAGTCATTATACTGTATTGTTATAAAGCAATTATAAGAAAAAACTACATGTTAAGTCATACATTATTTTTATATATATATGTTTGATACATGGTGTGTTGAATGTTTGGATTCAGAACATGCAAATAAGGAGAGCCAACTCTACTTAGGTAAACAGCGTTAATAGCAGAAGAAATGTAAGTTTCAAAGGCAAAGAGGAGAGGGAATCCAAGATTGGCCATCTTTGTGCCCTAAATCATAACCTGCATTTTCATGTTCTACTTCTTAGATGTTTTATCTTTCACAGTAATGTTTAACGTATTTTCATCTATCATGATAATTGATGTGTTTGGTATTATACCACCTTGTTTGGTGTTATGTTTTTAATATTCATTGTTGTTGTTTTGCTTTTTGTATTTTGGTTTGGTTTGGTTATTATCATAGTAATAATTTTGTTTTGTTTTGGTACTGGAAATTGAACTCAGGACCTTGCACTTGCCAGGCAGGCCCTGTGCTACTGAACTATGTCTCTGGCCCCCACATTAATAATTTTTGCCAACCTCCATAGTGATTTTGAATGTAGGCATCTTTTATTAGTTCTCCTAGGGATATGTTTACATTTTTAGAAATCTGTTATACTGTATCTCTGATTCTTAACACAAAAATGAATAATTTGTAATCTCTCCTATATGAAATTAAAAATTTAGTTCAACTTTATCTTTATTCATTGCTTATCTTTACAAATATGATTTGCCAGCCAGAAGTCAGATCAACTCCTCAGTTTTTGAGTCCTATGCCTTCTGCTTATTTAACATTTCAACCTATTAAAAATTTATTCTTCATGCAATGTAGTATTTTCAGCTGCATGCTTCTTTACCTGGTTTCTCAGGACAATATTCTTTTTACATTTGGTTGCCTCGTGTTTTCTATATTCCCTGTGTCAAGTTCAGTATTATGTATTTTGAAAGATGTGTTAAGACTCAGTGACTACCATTAATGAAGTTTATGCTGTGTTGTATTTTCCCTCTTGGCTGTGCCAGCTGTTTGGGGCTGTTAGATATAAAAACTGGAAAACAGGGTGACATCTCACTTGCAGTTCACTCCAGTCTAGCACACAGTTATATTAAATGGCTCTACTTTAGATAGGACGGGATTCTCTCTACCCTCCTGATAGTGTTCTCCAGGTCGTTGTTTCAAGGGACTTGTCCAGTTGCCATCTCTCCCCAGTGCATTTTACTCAGGTTAACTAGATTTCCTACAGTAAGGTACAGTGCCACCTATAACTACCACCCATTTCATGCTCTTGCTTTCTGGGAATCTCTTTGTCTGAATCTGGATAGAGATAACATTCTAATCCCTTCTAAAAATTGTATCTGAACAATATAGAGGCCTTTGTATAGCTTTGTGTGTCTGAGCTAGAGTTTATAGACCATAAAGAAATTTTAAAGTGTTTTCTTTTCTTTGAATCGGTGGGACCTGTTTCTGTTGTTGACGTAAAGAATGTACAGCTCTTCAAAATTTTTAAAAGAATTTCTTAGGTACTTTATTTACAATTGTTAAAACCAAACTAAAGCAATTAGACAAAAAAAAAGTGTAAAACAGAGGCTTAGATTTCTTGCAAGCTAGATATGTTAAAAAAAAAAACTATACAAAAATAAGAGAATGTTTTAAAACAACTGATGTGAAGACCTGAATAACTTCTATAAGTAGTGAAAGCTGTAACAGCTAGCAGAGGAGGAGAATTTAAAAATGTGTTTTGGGAAAAATGAAGAGTAGAGGTTTTCTCATTTCTGTCAGTTGTATATGTAGAATGCATTTTGTAAACAGAAGTATCATACTTCAGCTGGATCACAGAATAATAAAAAATATTAGAAGTATGGGTCATTCCCCAACAGTAAAGAGGCTTGTAGAAATTGGACTATTTTTTTTGGACTGGGGGATCGAACTCACGACCTCGCGCTTGCCAGGCAGATGCCTAGGAACGTCAGCCTACTTTTACAGTGAGAGAAACACAATGTGGAGCTTTAGCAAAGTTAAAGTGATACTTATATGTCACATGAAGTAGTTTAATGTTAGAACTATGAAGTCGGTATGACAGAAGTGAAGATGAAATGTCAGTTTGCTCATTCTTTTAGTAGTTACTGCATCCTTACTGTGCATCACACTCTAATTTGCACTGACTACAGAAGCAAATGTGTATGCTACCTTTGAAGAGATCAGTGTCGTCTGAAAAACTGTTGTATACACCAGCAGTTCCGGTTAAAAGTGCTGACTACTGTAACAGGAGTGTATTTGAAGTCATTACTCATAACTGAGGGATCAGAAAGCTTCTTATAGATGACATTTCAATTGGGACTTGAAATATAATCAAGAAAGCACTTCAAAAACTAATCAAAAGGAAAATATGGGCTGGAGACTTAGTTGAGAGTAGTGGCAGTGCAGTTGGCCTCAAGTGAAAGAAGCAAGTGACACTATGGATAACGTCAGTACTGTGTATTACACTGTGGATAAGGTACAAAAGCGTGAGCCACTGTGAGTTGTGCTGGTTCATTGGTTCTCAGCGTATGGCTCGTCAGGCAGCGCCCATGCCACCTGGGAACTCATTAGAGTTACAGATTGCTAGACCTACCGTCAGGAGCTGAATCTGCTACTTGACTTTCAGTATCACTAAGTGCTTTAACTGGCGCTGAGGCAGTAAGTTTGGTCAGCATTGCTCTAGTCATTTAAGATCTAATTATCAGAACAAAACTTGCATATAAAACATTTCAAACATACGATAAAATATGTAATTAAGTACTCGAGTTTAGAGACATGAGAGGGTAGTGTGACATAGTCTACTCAAGAAAATCTGCAAAGAGCCTCTGCTGTGGTGGCCTGCCCCTATAATCTCAGCACTCAAGAAGCTGAGGCAGGAGGATTTCTGCAAGTGTGAGGCCAGCCTGAGCTATCTAGTGAGTTTGAGACTAGCCTGAAAAAAAAACGAAAAGCTTCATAAAAAGATGAATTTAATTCTTTAACTTTTTAATTATCTAATTATTTAATCCTTTAATTCTTCAAGGATTTTACTAGGCATCAATGACCATCCACATAAAATGAATATAAGTAGGATGACAGTAAAAAAAATGAATATAAATTTCCTAAAATATTTCCCTAGATAGATTTCTATTAATTCCTCACTTATCATCCTGAAGTTCTAAGTGGGAGTAGCATCGTACACTGAGCAGAAGTGCTGAATATCTGACCAATGGCTTTATAGAGAAGTTTTACACAAATCAAGGTTAAATTTTTCTTAGAACTGTAGTTAGAAATGCCTGTTTCCATGAATTGTGAGAAGTAATATTTTTCCATTCATGTTTTCTTACTAAAATAAATAATCCAAATACTACTTTATTAAATCTTTGCATTATTCCTTCTTGAAAAATTTTATTGATTGATAACATTCAGAAAAAATGCTAAATAGTAGTTAATGTTTATTATAGGACTTATAACATGCCCATCAAATGATAAAGCTGAGGGCTTTGTGTGTATTTCCACATTTAATTCCAGCAGCAGCCTCAAG